TAAAAGACTAGGAATGCATGACCCCAAAGCAGAGGGAAATCTCACTTTTTAAACTGGTAAAACTTCCAGGGTACATGGCTTGAGAAGATTCCAAAATGAGGCAGGGTGCATCGGAAACAACCACAGAACTCATATTGGGGAGCAACATAAGCTTGAGTTCTAGTCCCAGCTATAAGCCCTTGTCCTTCCTGTGTGATCTTGGACAAGTTACTTAACTCCTCTGAACCTCAGTTACCTCATCTTAAAATAAGATTGATACTAGTCTCTACTACTCATAGGATGATGTGAGGTTTAAAAGTAGGAACAGTGCACACAATAATTCTCCATAAATGATGGTTACTCATATGGTTATCACCTACCTGTTCTTTTCTCTTTACAAAAGCACTAGCACAAACATCGACCTGAGACTTCAGGACTCATTTCCTTTCAACCATTTAATTTCTCAGATCCTTAGATTCATAAACTCACATAATCTATGACACTGTATTGGAGGGAGTGTGGGGGAGGAGACTAAGAAATCAAGTCCTCATTTTGGAAGAGACCCCCAAGATCCGGAGTAGGGAAATGATGTGCCCAAGACACACATAATAACAGGATTAAACCCCCAGGACTGGAAACAGGTCTCTTAATACCAACTGCAGTGCTCTCTCTACCTCACTCAGAAACCCAGGGTTTCTGTGCTTTCATGACCTCCTAGCATCCCTCTGATGAATGGTACCTCACAGACACTTCACACAATGCAATTAAGCATTACAAGGAGTTTGGCAAGAGGCAACACGGAATCTTGCATAGAACCTTGAGGTGCTTTAAAATTCACGTATAAGAGTATTCACATCAGCCTACGTTTCCAAACTTCTTATAACGATAGTTATTTTTTTATTTTTATTTTTTTTGCGGTACGCGGGCCTCTCACTGCTGCGGCCTCTCCCATTGCGGAGCACAGGCTCTGGACGCGCAGGCCCAGCGTCCATGGCTCACGGGCCCAGCCGCTCTGCGGCATGTGGGATCCTCCGGGACCGGGGCACAAACCTGTGTCCCCTGCATCGGCAGGCGGACTCTCAACCACTGCGCCACCAGGGAAGCCCACAATAGCTATTTTTAACTTGGGATTTAAAGTTGACAAGGAACTCAATGAACAGGCAGGACAAAGGGAGCTGTCTGTCCACGGCTGGTTAGCTCCTGAAGTCAATGCTTCTCACGCGGACAAGAGTCAGCCAAAGGACAGAGCTTCACACAAACTGAAAAACGTTCCTCCAGCCCACAGACCATGGATTACTACTGCCTGGGCTCCAAGTGGCAAATCTTACGAGATGCTCCCTAGCTTTTCCCCAGAGCCACCTACCAGTTAACCATACGTTCTGTCATCCGACAGGAGCAACTGTTACTGGGTGCTCACGCTGTGCCAGGCACACGAGTGACTTCATGTAATCCTCACAACTACCGATAAAGGATGTACTACCGTGGTTCGTATGACCTAGAACCCCACTGACTATGACACCATTATTTTACGTACGAAAAAGAAAGTTACTGCCCACTACAACTTAAGACCTCATAGATTATAAGATACTTTTCAGAAATGTTAAGATGAGACAAACTGTACTGTCTTAGCATTGTTGAAATGTGAATATTGTCCCATTTACAGATAAAGAAACTGAGGTACACAGAGAGAGAAAATAATTGCCCAAGGTCACGGAGCTGATAAGTGGAAGCATTGGGATACATACCTGGTAAGTCTGGTCAACTTTTCATGGCAGTAAACTCAGATTTCTTGAGAGCCACATGAATTACCCAAAAACACACCTGGCAGAGAGGCAGGACACAATGGTGCTAACTCTTGTTCCACCATGAGCACATTAACTGCGGCAATTCTCTGAACATCTCTGAACCTGACCTTTCATGTGTCCAAGGAGGCCTGTGCTAGGCTATAATAAACCGCCATCCTTCTTCTGGGAAAAGCAATGTGGTACGATGGGAAAAGCACATTTGGAATCAGAAAGTCGTAGACTGAAATTCTTGTTCCAGAGAATTCCCTGGCGGTCCACTGGTTAGGACTCTGTGCTTTCACTGCCGAGGGCCTGGGTTTAATCCTTGGTGGGGGAACTAAGATCCCGCAAGCCGTGTGGTACGGCCAAAAAAAAAAAAAATCTTGTTCCACTATCTAACCAGCTTATTGCCCTGGGAAAGTTACTGAACTGCTCTGAGCCTCTGTTTCCTCTCCTGTAAATTGAGGCTACCAGCATCTAGCTCACTTAGAGGGCTGCTCAAGGACGGGAAAGGATATATATACAAATAGAGAAAGCAGCACACGGCAGAGCTGGAATTCAACAAATGCTCTTTTCTATACTAGCCACCTTCTGCTTTGGGACAGAATCAAGGAACAAACAATTCCCTGTGACCTCAGCAATTCCCAAGTGGGACACTCAGGAGAGAATAAGGATCAGACAGGAGAAAGCAGACCCTGAGGGACACTCAGGCAAAGAAAATGAACTGGAAGCACCTGGAGGACAGGGACAGCTGATGAACTTCCAAACTTCTCAATAAACTAACTGACAGGGGAAAGGGAAAAAAAGAGAGAACTTAACACTATCAAAAGACACTGGTCAATAGATATGAGGATGAAGAGATACCAAACCTGACACAGAAAACCAGTCCTGGAAGATTCAGTTTGATACCAAAAGTGATCTACAGCAGGAAGAATTTCCCCATTGTTCTGTTTTGTTCTTACTTAAGTAATATTCTGTGCATTTCTCCCCTATCTTTCTTCAAGAGCTTCAGAAAATCCTCAGAAGAGCTTTGACTTGGAGGGAGGGTGAACCATATGGATGTAGAAACAAATTCTTGACCTGTTTCTTTCTCCATCATACCCCTAATGCCTCAAAGTTTCTGGCACACAGCCAACTCTCAACAAAAATTAGTTAATATTTTTTGACTACATGTCATTTCACTTTGACCAAAACTGCAAAACATCCTATATATTTATTCTACCTAAAAGCCTAATAATCTTTCCTACTTCTTTTCCAGAAGCATTCTAAAACCATAATCTCTAATACACAAACGATACACTTGGCGAAAGCTATTTCTCCAGTCCTCTCACACGATGACATTCTACCCGCTCTTCAAACCTCCAACAAGGTCCAGCCCCCTCAGCCCCACCAAACCCCTGCACTTTCTCTTCCCCCTCCTCTGTCCAGCCCTCGGGTGCCTTGGCAGTTGTCTCAATTACCACCATCATCTGAACTGAATCAGTTTGTTAATCTCCTTCCTCTCAGGCACAGCACCTTTCCTGGAGATAAATGTGCAGGCAAGTCAAGTTCACCCACAGTCCTCCATACACCCCCTACCCATCCCCATCCCAGCCTTCCCTGACACTCCCAGAGAGGCCCAGTGAAAAAACTATATATACATATGGCAAAAATCCCACCCTACCCCCATCACCTCAGGGGGCTGCTTGTTTTCCATAAGTTTAGACCAATCACCAACTTTTAGAAGAATTTCAAAGAATCCTGAAATGATTTAAGGGTTGGGTAAGAGCTGATAGAAATGGCACTTTTGCTCTTTCAGTACCTCCGAGGAGATAAGCTTCACTGTGTCACTGAGCCCTAAACTCACAAACCTAGACTCCTGGGAATTCCCTGGCAGTCTAGTGGTTAGGACTCTGTGCATTCACTGCCCAGGGCCCTGGTTCCATCCCTGGTCTGGGAACTAAGATCTCACAAGCTGTGCATCGAAAAAGAAAAACCCACAAAAACCTAGATTCTGCAAACACTCCCTATCCCAGAGTTCAAGGATCATTTGCCCCTCCGTTTTTCCTTGTTGGTTTCCATATAAAAGTCACTCATTGTTTCCCTTCCAGCTTACATCAGGCTCCTGAAAGGACTCCTTTAAATCCTTTGATGAAAACCATCAAAACACGCGAAAGGCTGGTTCTTTTCAATTCCTGTGCAGAGCAGCCCTGGTGTCAAGAGCTAGAACTTCAAACATGAATATGGCACCACCCCTGTCTTCATGGAGCCCACGCTTTTCCTCCAACTCTGAAAAAGTATGCCCTCCCTGGGAAGCGTCGATTAAGACGTAGTGACAAAGTATTTCATAGCTTTGGAGGAAGAGCGAGGGTGGAAACAGACTTTGCCCTTACATTGGCTGCCGTGTAACCATAACAACAGATGGTTTAAGTAACCATCAACCCACCTAGGGGCTAAGTTTTCCAAAAACCATTTTCAAAAGGGGAAAACTCCCCTGCACCGACTCCCGCGTCAGCCGTGCATTCTGGGCAGCGTGCGAGGCGGAGCTGAAGCCGACGGTTCAGTCCATCCCCGGTCCCACCGTTTCATTCGTGCGCTCCCCGGCAGCACAACCTCCGCCGTCACACCCGAGCTCTGGGGCAGGGCACCTGGCATTAGGCCTCAGCCCAATGTCACTTGTTAACCTTCCAAACCCCCAGCTTTCGGGACGCCGCCGCCTCAGGTCTAAGGCACACAAACCACCCACTGCCACCCACGATTTCCAGGAGCTAGAGAAAAACAACCCGAGGCGCAGAGAGCCTCTAAAAGATCCGCGTAAAAGTAACTGCGGTTCTCGACTTCCAGGCATTTCGCAACGTGAGCGCTGGGGGCGGCAGGAACCCGGGGCCCCATTCACAAAATTACAAGCTGTTTTCCCTTAGTTTGCTTGTGTACGGTCCTCCCCGGACGGGGCCGAGCCCGGAGCCCGTGGATCGCAGGCTGCGGGGACCGGCCGGAGGGCACCTCCGGCGGGGTCAAGCCCAGACCGCCCCACACCGCCCCAAAGGAAAGAAGGGTGCGCCCGGGGGTGTCGCGGGTAGGCGTCCCTGTCAACTTAACCTAGACCGTGACAGCGGGGCGGGGCCCTGTGGGGGCCGGACCCCGCGCCCCGCCGCACCAACGGCCGCCGGCCCCCGATCGTACCCCGGACTCTGAGGAGCCTGAGCCTTCTCGGCGGGCGTTCCCTCCACCGCCCCACCCGGCCCCGGGAGCGCTCACCCCGGATCCACTGGCTGCCTCATTGTACTGCGCCGGCGCCCGTGCTCCACGGCCGCCGCAGCTCCTGCTACGGCTCGGGATCGGGCCACAGTCCTGCCGCCAGCCCGCCCCCCGGCCACCGGCCGCCCCGCCCCGCCGGCGGACCCGCCCCTCACCCGCGGCCGCCGCCGCCAACCAGAGGGCGGCGGGGGCGGAACAGGCCGCGCGCCAGGCCCGGCCAATCCAGCCCTCTACAAGTGCGCCGAGGAGCGGCCGCGGAAATGGCCGGGCGATTGGTCAGGTCTGTTAAAGGGGCCGCCGCCCATGGGGCTGGGGAGAGGGGCGGCGGCGGGGTTACCAGGGAGAGCCTGGTGTGGGAGAGGTAGGAGCTTCTCTTCTCTCCCAGCCTGGCAGCCGCGCTCTCCCCAGCGCTTTGCATATTAATTTCCTCTTCCTGCAGCCTAGCAACAAGTGGAGACAGAACCTGCCTCTGTCTGAAGGAGAAACTGAGTCTCCGAGAACCAAGGGTCTCCCGCTTGACAAATTAACTCAGGTTTGGGTTTAGAGGGCAGTCAGGCAAATCTGTTCCCGTCCAGTCCCAGAAATTGGCTTACAAAGACACATTCTCAGCCTCACCCTGGAGGATCTTTTTAAACATATTTAATAGACATTCCGTGTGTCTGGAATGGGGCTGGGGAAAGTATGCATTTTTCAACGCCCTTCCCTTGAGGCGATTCTGCTGTAGGTGGTACAAGAGCCACACTCAGGCACATATTTCAAGTCGATCATTGTAATGAAATCCAAATTCAACTGCCAAAAATAAAGAGAAACTTTTTTTTTTAATCCTCAAAATCAGTAATACGGTTGGGAGACTTGCTAGTGGGGCTGGACGTCGCCTACTGAGAAACTCAGAACAGTTGCCTGAGTGGGTCATGCTGAGATCTGAGTTTGAAGGGCCCTGGGCTGGGACGAAGCAACAAGCCAGTCTTGTTTTCTGACTGGTGAGACAATGCTTAAATACTTCAACGGCAAACACACCCTTCCTCGTTGCCATCACCAGGCCCAGTCATAAACCCAGGAGGGTGCCTTGCCCTTCTGGAGCTTGGTTCCAAAGACATCAAGCCCTGCCCACCCTCCCAGACACATTCCTGTCCCCATCCCTGTGTCCCAGACACACATCTGACCCAGAAGTCACTGCCTCACTTGAAAGTCAGCCCCTTCCACCTAGACCCCTCCTACGAGGAGCAAACTGACTCCAAAGAACAACTGTTTTTGTCGTTGTTGTTGTTTTGCTGTGATATCTGATAGGTGCTGTGTTTGCCAGGAACAGCTCGACACACACATTCATCAGCCTCATCAGGATTAAGTCTCTGGGTTGCAGATATCACTGCCTGGGATCACCATTTGCTTCACTTGGCCTTCCCAAAGGAAGAAGAATTCTTGTCTTAAATGGAGAGCGTTCCGGTCGTGGATATCTGGAAATGTGCAACAAAGGCAGTTAGCACTAGAGAAACAGCACAAAGCTTGTCTCGGCCACCTCTTAAAACCTCCACCTGGGCTGGGGGTGGGATGGGGAGTGAAGGGGGGTGCCTGGAGCTGCACCACCACAAGGGTCCCTGGAAGCTGGCAGTGTGCATCTCAGCCCTCCTTGCCTGGGCCAAGCCCTATATAAATATTAGATTAATTAATACAGTGTCACCCTTACCTGGAGGCCAATAAGTTCTAGCATGAACCCTTAGAAGAAGACTTTCTTTCTGAAAAGTGAGGAATTTGGATGCTTTGAAAAATAGACATATAACAACATAATAATATTAACACGTCCTACCTTTAAGAGGTTTCTCTGGGCAAGACACTTCGTCAAGATCTTTGCACATATCAATACACTGAAACCTTACAAGAACCCTGTGTGGTAGGTATGGTTGTTATTTTCTCAATTTTACGGATGCAGAAGCTGAAGCTCATGGAGGATTGGTAATGTGTCCAAGACCACAAGACTAGCTCAAGAGAGAGCCAGCATTCATGACCTCCTAACTGCCTTCTCCAGTGCCTGCCTAAATGCCCTTCCTTGCTGCCGGAAACAGGATGGCTAACTTCAAAAGGCAAAAGAAGCAAATATCACTGATCTTCACCAAAAGACAGCGCAATATAGCAGCACTGCCTTGGAGTTTAAGTTCCATTGCTCTAACTTACCACCTGCTTGATCTTGAACAAGACATATCATTAAATCCCTTTGAGCCTCTGAGTGCTTGTCTATAAAATGGGATAATAACAAATTCTGCCTCCTTGGGCTGGCATGAAAACCAAATCAAATAAAGAATATACATAAATACATATGTACTTTGAACTTACAAATGAAAAGAGTGATTTTAGAGCTTGGCATCTGTGACTCAGTATAGTGACCAATGACAAAGGCCAGGGATTGTGATGCTAAATTTAGATATCAAAGAAGATTCCTTACTTTCTCCCCCAAATAGCTGATCTATAGGTACAATATGTACAAAGTGAACTAAATCTTTTCTACCTATAGAAGTCATAGAAATTCAAACCCAAGTTATTACTCTGGCATCTGCCTCCCTCCCCCGCAACCATCACCCAAGTCTCTCTCTCTCAACCCAGGCTCCAGCTTAAGCCTACAGGTTCCAGGATACTTGATGATTCCTAATTATGGCATTTCAAGATAATTCTTATTTTCTCATGAAACTTAAACTGGAAAAAAAAAAAAAAGGCTGTATGATATTTTACTTCCATTTTTTTTTTTTTTTGGCCTCACTACCCAGCATGTGGGATCTTAGTTCCCCAACCGGGGATCAAACTTGTGCCCCCTGCGCTGGGAACATGGAGTCTTTACCACTATACCACCAGGGAAGTCCCTGCTTCAATTTTTTGACATTGCATTGCACTCTTGGCAGGAGAAATGGTTATGAAGTACACAAAAACGAAAAGTTGATCCACTCATACATCTAAAAAAAAAAGGTTAGGGGTCCATTGTGCCACAAGCTGCACCTTTAACGAGCGATCACTGAGAGCTCAGTAAGTACCAGGTGTTGTGCTGAGTACTGGGGATGGAAATGAAGACAGTATTTGTAAAAAAAAAAAAAAAAAAAAGTGCATAAAGATGGCCTTTTAGCACTAGATCTAGCAGAGAAAGACTGACAAATTGATAGACCATTATAGGCTTCCACAAAGTTAAGCACAGGAGCTATGGCACACAGAATAGGCATTTATAATTGCTGGGGAACCCCATAGTGTTTTAGGGGTGACCAGATGAAGGCTACTAAGAAGAGAAACCAGGGCTTCCCTTGTGGCACGGTGGTTAAGAATCCGCCTGCCAGTGCAGGGGACACGGGTTCGAGCCCTGGTCCCGGAAGGTCCCAGATGCTGTGGAGCAACTAAGCCCATGCACAACAACTACTGAGCCTGTGCTCTAGAGCCTGTGAGCCACAACTACTGGGCCCGCATGCCACAATGACTGAAACCCACGCACCTAGAGCCTGTGCTTTGCAACAAGAGAAGCCACCGCAATGAGAAGCCCACGCACTGCAACAAAGACCCAACACAGCCAATAAGTAAATAAACAAATAAAATAAAATAAAATACATCTACTTAAAAAAAAAGGAGAGGGCTTCCCTGGTGGCGCAGTGCTTGAGGGTCCGCCTGCCGATGCAGGAGACGCGGGTTCGTGCCCCGTTTCGGGAGGGTCCCGCATGCCGCGGAGCGGCTGGGCCCGTGAGCCATGGCCGCTGGGCCTGCGCGTCCGGAGCCTGTGCTCCGCAAATGGGAGAGGCCACAACAGTGAGAGGCCCGCATAACGCAAGAAAAAAAAAAAAAAAAAAAAAGGAGAAACCAGAGAGGTGATTTAAAAAAAACAAAAACAAACAAACAAAAAATAACAAGTAAGTATGTTGTCACCAAGGAGAAGAGATTGGAGAAGGCGGGAGTAACATATGCCTTAGAAGGGTCAAGATGGGAGAGATCTGAACTGTGCACCTTGGGATTTGCGAATTAGAAGGTTACTGAGGCCATTGACAAAAGCAGTGTGCGTGGGGCTAGAGATGCAGAGTCTCCCTAGAGTTGGGCTGAGGTGAAGAGCTAAGAAACCAGGATGAAGAGGCCGGGCAGGAGAGGACAGCGTCGCCAGGAAGCCCACGGGGACAGGGGAGCTGCCCGTGGGGAGGAAGAGGGTTTGCTCTTCCACTTAAGCTGGTTGCAGACAAGAATGGGTGTGGGTGCAGATTCATTCATAGATGGAGGGCAGGAGGTTGGGGAAATTCCTGCTTGCTGGCTTCTATTATTTTAGCTCTAAAGTGAGAGGCGAAGTCATCTCTTGAGAGTGGGTGGGAGGTAGTAACAGGGGCTTTGAGGGAAACAGTGAAGAACCAGAAAAGCCACTGAGAGGAATGAAGGAGGGAGCTGCCAGATGGAGAGGGAGAATCCTGGGCAGCCCTGAGGGCCCATGCATTTGAGGCATTCCCAGGATCGGAGATGGATGGATGGTTATGTGGGGCTCAGCAGCCGGGCCCAGGTGTGGAGAATCCAGAGTCAAGAATTTACAGGGTCAGGAACAGGAGAAATACAAAACAGTGCAGGTTACTGACAACATGGGGGTTGAAGTGATGGATCACGTGTTCTAAGTTGGATGGAGATAGAAGGAAATCCAAGGGGGTGGGGAGCTGCCCCAGAGGAAATCTGTGGGGCAGGAGAGATAGGAAGAACCAGACTGTGTCGATTTGGAGTGGGATGGGTTAGGCGAGGTCTTCACAGACGAACCATTCTGAGTGATGACAAGGTCAGGTGCAGCCATACAGCTGGAGTTTCTAAAGACACTCGACTCCTGGATTTTCCCTCCTCTGGTTCCTTATGGAGAATGATCTGAGGCCGTGTGGCCTCCAGTGCTTTCTGTTCACTCTGCACCACCACTGGGCTGACTCTCTGAGATGATGGAGCTGGGAAGAGCATCCTTCTCTCGTTTGGTTTCCCTTCTAAAATAAAAACCTGGGAATTCCCTGGCGGTCCAGTGGTTAGGACTCAGCGCTTTCACTGCCAGGGCCTGGGTTTAATCCCTGGTCAGGGAACTAAGATCCCACAAGCCACACAGCATGGCCAAAAAAAAAACCTGTTAATGAACAGAGGGACTCCCACCATCGTCATGGAGACATGAGCATTTGTGGGAAG